AAATAAAAAAGCCTTACCAAGACTATGTTGGTGTTAAGATTATTACATGAACTCTCTTCTTTATTCTCTTTGTTTGTTCAATGATGATTTACCTTTGAACACAAGAAAATATGTTTCCAGAATTCCAACATATCCTCGTCTATTTACCAAGTTTGCTATGTTGTCACTACATCCTCTTTTATTTTTCTTGTGAGACATTTGGTAGATTTTGTTTCAGGAGTTAGATATGTTTTTCTTCCTAGCTTTTCGGCATGGTGGTTGAAGCGCATCCAAAAAAACTTGGGAGAATTCTAAATGTTCCAAACTTTTAGAGTATTCACTATCTTACGGTTTTTGTTTTAAACAAGGTTTATAAACATAGCAGGTTTTTACTAAGTAGGTCACAAGAAGATCTGGATTTTGATCAAATTTGAGATATAATTTTTTTCTTCTCAATGTTTGTGGTTTGCTTTATCTTTGAAACAAAATAATAATAATAATAATAATAATAATAATAAGAAACCAAAATAAGGTGAACATATCATTACCCCAGAGAACAACGTTGATATAATCATGTCTTGGCTGATCACACTATTTTGTCTCATGTAACTCCTATGCAGTTTCAACTTTTAGTGCATGTTTCTGTGTTAATATACAGCTATTTGGCTAAGCAATTGTCAAGTGCTCTTTTTTCCCAGGATTCTTCGCCAACATCTTTTATTTGGTTAGTGTAATACTCAAAAGTAGTATGGAGATACTACAATATGGAATTTAAGTACAGGCTCTCCTGCCTGAGGAACTACTAATATCCTGCCTGAGTTCTTGAATTTGTACGACGATACCAGAAGCTATATGATTTTTCTGAAAAAAGAGGTCATGCCAATTAATATCAAGGAAAACTGAAAGATCTCAAAGTTGGGCATATTCCATATTCCAAGTTTCTTAACTCTATTGAGAGCATCATCAGCTTTGACCGCCTTTATTAGCTGCGAAAAGGTATTCTCATTAGTATTTAAAATACTCCGTAGAACTCTTTCATCACATACATTAGCATATATTTACACGACTTCTAAATAAATATATTAGCTTCGGGCTGTTAGTGTAAGAGTGTAAGCATAATATGTATGTATGTATGTATGTATGTATGTATGTATGTATGTATGTATGTATGTATGTATGTATGTATGTATGTATGTATGTATGTATGTATGTATGTATGTATGTATGTATGTATGTATGTATGTATGTATGTATGTATGTATGTATGTATGTATGTATGTATGTATGTATTTATGTATGTATGTATGTATGTATGTATGTACGTATGTATGTA